GCCTTGTCTCCTTTTTTAAACAAGTTCACAACCACTCCTTCCCTCCATCTACTTGGCGCATACTCGTTTTTCCACACCAAGTTGTACAGCAGTACCATCAGCTGGATCATCCCCTTCCCCCCAAACTTCATTAACTCGTTGACTATCCCATCCGCCCCTGCTGCTTTGTGGCACTGCAGCTTGTTCACACACGCCTCAACCTCGTCCTCAGTGAACTCCTTTTCTAGTTCTACGTTCCCAACGTCTGCCTTCGATGTCTCTTGTTCTTTCTGGGCCCATGCGTCCACCTCCTCCTTAAACACTTGGTCAAAAGCTTCATTCTCCGAAGGCACTCCAAGTCTCTTGTAGTGTCCCGCTAGAACGTCCCTTTTTCCCTTCCCACTGCTGCCTAGTCCACCGTTCACACCTCGCAAAGTTGCTACCCCTGTACCTCCCCCTTACGCGGTCTTTTTTACCATCCCACTAATCCCTTCCCACATCTGCTTGACGTTCTCCTCCAGGCCTCCGTTGGCCTTCTGCACTACTTCGTCCCAAATTCACTTTTTCTTCTTTTTCACTAGTCCCTTCACCTGTTTCTCTTATCCCTGTACTTTTCCCAACTCTCCTCAGACCCCTCACTCAGGTACTGCTTGAAGACTTCTCTACGTTTCCCTATTTCTTCTTTCAGCTCGTCATCCCACCACTTAATTAACCGATACCCCACATCGTACCACCTTCTTTCCCACTACTCTCTCTGCCGTTGTGTTCACTATGGACTCCCACCCTGCGATCACCTGTCCCCTGCTGCTTGTACGTCTACTTGTCCGTCTTCGACGCTTCTCAGCAGTTTCCTGAAGGGTTCTACACTACCAGCCAGTCCCTTCTGGAATTAATCCCGTGCCCCCTCGTCTCCCAAACGCTCTACTTTCCACCGGACCACTCTCCTCTGTTTCTCTCCATCTTTCTAGATCGGTCGATGTTAGCCCATATGAGGAAGTGGTCGGTCGACCCTATATCTATCGCACTTATAGCAGCTCTGGGATCTGTGTGCTCCCCTTATCTACCAGGATGTAGTCGAGGATCGAGTGTACATTGTAAACTGCCCTTTGCCTGGTGAACTCCGGCTTGTCGCATTCCCTCCTACCGTTCAACACCATCAGGTCGTTGCTTCCCAAGAATTCAAGCATCCTCACTCCGTTGTCATTCACTTTGTCTTCTCCGTGCTGCCCGATCGCCTGCCCCCTACTGGAAGCTTTTCCTACTCTGGAGTTGAAGTCGCCCACCATGACAACTTCTCCCGTCCTACTAAGTTCTGGACATTTTCCCCAATTTGTCCAAAGTTCTCCTGTGCCTTGCTTGCGACTTTCTTCGACGACGGTGGGTACGTTCCCTAGAAAAAAATCTTTCTCTCCCCGCTCCCCAGGTATCTTAAGCCATAGGCCTTCCTCGAACTCCGTTTTCACCACTACTTCCACCACGTCAAACAAGTGTTCCTTGACCAGGACTCCCCCCTCTCCCCTTTTCTTCGGGTCTAAGCCCTTTCTTGCCTTCCCTACCCACCGGTATTTCCCTGGTTTGCTTACCACGTCCCCATCCTTCAATTCTCACGTCTTTTGGATCCCCACTACATCTAGATCGCTTTGTTCTACTTGGTCCACTATTTCCAACCGCTCGCGCTCACTCCTTGCGAACCCGCACACGTTCCACGACCCCACTCTCAGCTTGTGTTTTTCCTTATTGGAGATTTTGCGCATTCTATCGTTCGCCTTCCGCTTCTTCTCGGCGTTCTTCTGACTTGCCTGCTCGTCTCCCCCGCCGGGTCCCTTCTTCGCCTCCATCGCCCTCGTCTCTTGTCTCCTTACCTTCTCTGTTTCTATCATGTTCGCGATGCAAACCCTCCATCAAAACTTCCTTACGTAGTTCAACAGCTTCTCGATGTCAACCCCCAAGCACTCTTGGCTGTCTTCCTTCGTCAATTTCACCCGGAAATGTTCATGCTCTCTGCCTACTTCTCCCCTTGCTAGGCAGTGCAGTCCCTCCCTGTCACAACAGTTCTTGAACTCTATCCTCGTCATGTCCCTTGGAATCCCAAATAGCAGCATCTCCAACCTGTCTCCCTTCCACAGTTTCTGCTTCCGTCCTCCCGGCTTCTTCACCATCCTCATGATCTCTACAGCAACTGGACCGTGGCCACTTGTTTTTCGTGTTTTTTCAGGAAGGTATACGGAATACTCGGCCTTCCCAATCCGAGTGTCCGGTGGGCGTTGTGGTTCCTTTCAGTTCTTTTGCCGGCTCACCGGCGCTAAATAGCGCCTCCAACATGGGCTCGTAGTCTAGATCCAAGTTCACACCTCCTGGCACACAAGTACCCCAGTCTTGTGCCGGGCGCTCTGCTTAGTAAACACCCAGACGTCCCCCGACCACCCAATTTATCATCTCCGAAGTCCCGCGGTACAAGCTACTTTCCTCCTGGGAGGTCATTTTCACCACAATAAGTTTAGGGACGACTTGCATAGCCTAAGATCCTACTCACACGCCGGGATGGAGCGTACACCAACGTCCAGCTTCTCATGTACGCTCCACCATGGGTTGCTACCCCACTTACGCTCCCGAGTAGACCTATCTGCCGAAAGTTTGGCCAACAATTCCTTACTGCTTTGTACTCGCCTCTCTCCAATCGAAAACAATGCATTGTGCGTACCGCACATCTAGCTCCGCAGTTTTTGCGTGGTTGGTCAGGTCGTTCGGCTTGCTCGACGTGAGTAATAAGTTTGCTTTGATGGCTCTATGTTTTATTGATCCACTTCAAGCAACGAACACCTCCCCCCCCTCCACCGTCTGATCCATTTTGGATCTCACGCCGGAGAGTTTTGGGTGTCTTAGCTCTAAGTCTTCCACCGCCGAATGGGGGACTTAATTGTTTTTTTAATGCCGTACCAATAGGCATTAACCTTAGGTAAGCTTGTGCTTACTTTGAACTGTACCCTCCTCATCCTCTGGGGGAGGTAGAGGAGGGGGGGGGGGGGGGGCATGGCCCCTATTTTGGAGGGGGGGGTTCGGGTATGGGTTGGGGATCGGGTCTATGTGTACTGCATTCTCAAATTGTCCCCTCACTAGTTACAAGATTTTCAGCATGCGGCTATCCTCATTCAACGCGTCTATGTGTCCGGCAATCTCCAACACAAATCAATCTGTGAGGTTTCAGTATGCAGCTTTCCTCATTCAATGCGTCTATGTGTCCGGCAATCGCAAACATCACTCAACTCGTGAGGTTTCAGTATGCAGCTATCCTCACTCAACGCGTCCATGTAACCGGCAGTCTCAATTGTCACTCAACCTGTGAGGTTTTAGTATACAGCTATCCTCACTCAACACGTCTATGTGTCCGACAATCTCCAATACAAATCACCTGTGAGGTTTCAGTATGCAGATACCCTCACTCAATGCGTCTATATGTCCGGCACTCTCCCACATCACTCAACCCGTAGGGTTTCAGTATGCAGCTATCCCCACTCAACGCGTCTATGTGTCCGGCAGTCTCAAACACCAATCCATCTGTGAGGTTTCTGTATGCAGCTATCCTCACTCAAACATCTATGTGTCCGACAATCTCCAATAATACAAATCACCTGTGAGGTTTCAGTATGCAGCTATCCCCACTCAATGCGTCTATGTGCCCGGCACTCTCCAACATCACTCAAACCGTGGTGTTTCAGTATGCAGCTATCCCCACTCAACGCGTCTTTGTGTCCAGCAATCTCTAATATAACTAAAATCCGTGAGGTTTCAATATGTAGCTATCCTCACTCAACGTGTCTATGTGTCCGGCAAGCTCACAAAACCAATCCACCTGTGAGGTTTCAGTATGCAGCTATCCTCACTTAACGCGTCTATGTGTCCGGCAATATCAAACCTCACTCAACCCTTGAGGTTTCAGTATACAGCTATCCTCACTCAACACGTCTTTGTGTCCGGCAATCTCATACATCACTCAACTCGTGAGGTTTCGGTAAACAGCTATCCTCACTCCACTCGTCCATGCGTCACGCGTTTTTGGTAGCGCATCCTATGGGGGCTACATTTGGGGTGACGTGTTTTACAGCGCTTTGCCAACAGCGCCAACCCACTTATGTCTAGGCGGGGGCGGCTTGTTTTACAACGTCGTTGCCAAGCGACGAAAACCCAACCCCGATGGCAAACACCGATGGGGAGGTACGGGGGGGGGGGTGTACCCATAGTCGTGCATGCCGTAGTCGTTAGACCATTGACCTCGCATCCCTACAAAGCCGGGACGGAACGGGGGGGAGGTGATTTGATCCCGGGAGGGAGGGGGCGTTATAGTCTACACATATGCTAGGACCCACAACATAAAGAAAAATCAAAAAGCACCACGCACCCCATGAACGAGGCGTGTACGACACTCGTACGCCCTCGCGGTGTCCGTGAGGGCGGGGGTTGGCCGCGAGTGTTTGCCTACCTTTCCGATGATTTCTGGGTCCATGGCGGAGATGGCGAGCAGGAGCGACGAGGTTTTGACGCTTAGAGCGTTGAAAAGAAACACGCCGGCCGCCGGCAGCAGCATCGCCGCGTGTCGCAACACCGCGTATGACTTTTCGTTCGCAACAATTAAGAAATTTACAACCCACACCGCCTGTGTTGGGACGTATCGGTGTGCATACAGAACGGTTTTGAAAAACCACAAGGAGAGAGCGGGACGGGGGTGGATTGGGATTGTGGTTTATGAACGGGGGGTTCGTCGAAGCAGTCGGAAGGTTGTACATAGGGATTGAGAATGGTCCACCAACAGTTTGTTTGCGCATGCACCTAAACAGCCACCTCGTTCGTTAACAACACTATGGTCAAGGGTTGGGAATTTGGATCAACACACCCGCGAGCAATCACACGCTCTGAGTACGACATAGCACACCCGGGTAGCAACAATAGGTGGGAAGGGTGTCGTTCTACAAGGTCGACCAGCTGCTTGGAGGAACCGAGCGCAAGCTGTGCAGACGATGCACTGTTCAGAGTAAGATGCCAGACACAAATAAACGTACCAGATAGGTGCAACTCAAGAGCAGTAGTACGTCCAGGGTCTTGTGAAAAAGCGTTGGACTGCCAAACGGGTAGATGTCACTCAGATCGTTGAAAAGATCGAGCTTCGCCTTGATGGATGGTTTTCGTACGATTCTGTCCGTCGCCTTCGTGACGTCCATGGCCAGCTTGGTCGTATTAGCCAGGTGTTGACTCACCCGCCGGACCTTGTTTGAGGCGGAGAAGAGAAGAAACTCTCATGTGCATGGAAAGAGGGTAGTCAATCTCGGTTGGCCGAGCTGGCGGCACGGCGTCACGTGGAGCCCGTTATTGCAATACCTGTTGCGTGAATGGTTGGTTGCTGCTGAGAGCACCACCGGGAATTGTCAGGGACTTGAGCTGGTGCACTGGTTAAGTGCAAAGCACACAACATCAAATTTGTCGGGAGAATTGTCGCACAATCGTCCTAAAGCGTGCTATGCAAGCGGGGCGTTGGGGAAACAATATTCTTGCGTGAACCCGGCCCTAGGCCGTCGTACATTATAAGACAGAATGAGGGAAATGAAGCACGCCAGGTAGGTGTGGGCATGAAGGAGCGGTAGATGGAATGAGGAAACAACCGTGGCTCATATTCACAACGAAAGCCATATCGCACCTGCTCCCGAAAGGTGTGGCTGGCTCTTCTCCCCATGGAAGACACATTGCTCGAGCTCATGCTCTTTCGGTGTGAGAAGGAGCGGGACGAGGTCTCGGTATCGCTGCCATTGATGTCACCGCTATCGCTGTCGCTGCAGACGTATCCCGCGCGGTGCGAAACGGTCTTGTCCTGGAGCAGCGGCTTTGGTTCCCGCTTTACTAGCACCTCGAGTGGCGATCGAGTAAAATCCTTGCTGCTGCCGCCATCTTTTTGGGTCCGAAGGCTTGGGATGTTCATTACGTATCGCAGCTGATGACAATCGTCGCCCAAGACCTGTCTGCCCCCACCGCCGCTCCAACTCCCGCCCCGACCCCATTCCTCCGCAGGTCTGTTGACGTCGTCTCCCTCTTTTACTTCTTCCTCCACGTCCAACCCCTCCCGTTCCTGTGGACTGCGACGGTTGTTGCCGGACGAATCATCTCGTGACTCGCTGTCCACTCCGTATTCTGAGGCGCGAACAGAGTCCCCCGGGTCGGGTGCAACCAAAACGGTAGTGTATTCTCTCGCACCCCCGCCCGTTTCCGCCGCCGCCGCCGCCGTCCCCCGTGACAGCCCCAGATCTGCTCGCTCTCCTGGCGGTTGTGCCCGCGGCAAGAGGGCGACAGACGCCCCAGCAGCTGCTGCGGCCGCGGTAGCAGTTGTGTTGCTGCCGGACGAGCCCACATCGTTGGGTACGCTTGGAGGCAAGGGTGTGGTGTCTCCGCGCTTTGACGCCAGTTCTGCGACCGATCTGTTGGCTGTTGTTCCTAACCCGTCGACAAGCAAGTCTCTTTCGTTGGTACTGTTTCGATTCAGTTCCTCCTCCGGCAGGATCTATCGAGGCCAAAACGTGTAGGGGCAGCCGCAAGATCGGATTGATGCTCGAGGTACTCGCTAGGGGATGCTGATCTCAGTTCAACTACCGAAGATCCAACGTGAGCTGATAAACACCATGAACTAGTGTTTGGATTGGACAATATGGCCCCGCGGCATTCCGGCGGGGAACGTTAATGGGACGGGAGATAGGTAGCGATGAGATGTTCTAGACGAAGCCTCCAACGTCATCACCGGTCCGAGAGATTGGGAGCGTTTCGTACGCGTGCGTGTGGGTGTGTTGATTTGCCTAAACGTTTCTTCAGCGGTTCTTCGTGAGCTCGCCTCCAAGCCCGCCCTCGCGACAACCAGGAGTACAACGAGAAGGAAACGGAGTTGGGACGATCAAACGGAGTTCCATACCTTGCTTCTGTTGCCACTTCCGAGCCGAAGAAACCCTCGCGGAGGCGTTGAGCGTTGGATCACCTTCTCGATTTCTTCCTTTATGTCTGCTGACCCGACTGACGATGAAAGCGCCTGGACATCACACACATCAATGGTGGTACATCGTGAGAAAGCCAAGAGAGAGCGCAAAATAAAGCATCAATGCCACGGCAGTGGCAGTCGGAAAAATCCGTTGATGCTCACAGGACGATCGAAAAGGTAAATCTCGCTCTTTTTGGTCATGGTGTCGAACGAGACACCGCACAGACTTCATGGGATTAGTTTGTGGCAAGACCTCTGACAAAGGCGAAACGCAAACGACGCGGTGTACTTCATCGACAACGAACGAACCCAATATCGCCAAAAAACACCCCTTTTCCTCTTCACATTGCTGAAGGCACTTGGAGTCAAGAGCTTGGGTGGCAGAACCAGAGTTGTAAGGTGTTCTATGTTGAAGGGTATGAGACAGTCTTGAGGATAGCACACGCATGGTGGTAGGCCTGCTCTACATTCCCTACACCTACCTGTATGCTGTAAAGAAATGATCACCCTCTTCCTCCCTGTCGTAGTTCTTCGGCCAATTCATGTTTTGGAAGGAGTAAATATTTTCTCATTTATCCGAGGATGCGTTGGTGGTTGTGTGGTCGGGGGTACAGAAACGCGTGGGCGACACGTGCACGGTGTCAGACAGGCCTACCTGTGCGTTGCGCATCGCCTGTCCAAGGTGGCGCGATATCGAAGCGTGGAAGCTTTTTTCATCCATGCCCCCGCCCTCCTTTCTTCGCCAGTGGCGGTGGTGGGAATGATGAGCCCTGCTGTCTTCTTTGGCCTCGTCGACCTGGCGCTTCAACCGCTGCAAGTGACCACCGCGATTCAACACCGTTCGCCTGCGGTTTTCGTGTTTCTGGAAGCCGGCCGATAACGAGAGCGGGTTCCGATTGGGATGAACGACAGCATTTAGCGCAAACCCTCGTATAACGCGGGTGTTGTGTTTCGGGAAAAACGGACATGATGATCCCGCTCGTGCAACAACGTTGCCACGGCAGGGGCTACGTTCAACGCAGGAAGCGGACACCTTGGAGGAGCAGACAACGAGCTCAAAGACAGCGACAATTAAATACTGTTGGGTTTAAGCGTCGCTCGATCCTCCCCGCCTCTGACCAACTCCCGGCGATCCGCGGTAGGTGTATGCGAGGCTTTCCCAGTCGGCGAAGACCCACAGTACACCGCCCCGGCCGTGCAAGCGTAAGAATTTGTGGGTCTCTCACGCCACTCTATCCTTTCCTGACCAAGTGTGCATAATAGCAACCCACACGTTGAGGTAGCGTGCGAGGCTGCTTCCCGTGCCTCTAGACAAGAAATAAAAAGTGTCCTGCTCGCCCCTCTCCCCACCCCCTCGCCGTGTGCTCACTTTTGCCTCCAGCGTCTGCTTCTCTATCACGGCCAGCTGATTGTGGTACTCGTGGGTGTCTTCGCACCCGGCCTTCTTCAGGAGCCTCAGCTCCACCCACCGCGACATGAAGTAGTTGAACACTGCCAACGCCAGCATCAGCCAGCCGGCAACAATGAACATCGTCTCCCCGTCGGACCCGGTGTTGCCGTAAGCGTCCGACGCGAACTCGCCCATATCCCCGGCCAACCATCGCCTCCCGTTATCATAACCGCTGCTGGTCGTCGCAACATGATCGTCGTGTGAGGACGTAGACGAAGAACCATGGTCATCCGTGGTGCCGTGGTCATCGTCGGCATGGTCTTCTTCCTCTTTTGTCAGACCGATCATCTTTTACGGGGGAGACGGAAACACGAGAGGGACTCTATTGACGACTTGGCGGTGAGAACGTCTCTAGGTTGTGGACGATTGCATTGCAACAAAGTCTTGACGGGAGGCACATCCGGTGTTCTCCGACCAGGTGATCAATACCTCGGGCGTGAAGCGCCGTGTGAGAGGGGTTCACGAGAGGGGGCTAGTTGTGGGGGTAAGGGGAGGAAGGGCAGACTAATATGCCGCTTTCTTTAGTCTTCAACCTGTTGACCACTTTTGCTACGGTTTGCGATCCCACGGCAGATCGTGGGTTTTGAAGAGCCCTCCCGTGGAAATATGAATTGCAAGACCGCCAGACTAAACTCGCCATCGCTAAAGGCAGAAAATAAAAGACGGGGGCCAAGAATCTTCGTTCCAGTACTACATGCCGTTCGTGGCGAAATTCGTCACCCGCATTTACACATCATGCCTGCCAAATCTTGATCCTCGCCAAGTTCAGGAAGAACACGACACCAAGAACAACCCAGGTCGAGGACTCCACGTCCACGAGCGCTAGTATGTGGCTGTCGGTGGCCTTTCGCATGTACAACGCGAAGTTGAAGGTCGTCGGCAGCGCAAATGTTGTCCGGAAGAAGGAATGAACGATCTTAAACTCCATCACCTCTCGCAGATCCGAAACCGGCAGCCATCTGATTCGCAACGTTGTGTTTTTGTCGCGATATTCAGCATTGCTATGTAGGCTGGGAGCTGTGGTCTTGTGCGGTTGTTTGCAGTGTATGGGAAGTGGTTGGTAACAACAAAAATAATGTGTGGCGTTAGTGGTTGTTGGATAATATCAGCTGCTTATCGCTTGAAGTGCGTTGAACGTACGATAACAACGTTCAATGCGTTGATGTAGAATGTGCAGCGTGCAACCATGGTACCGTAATCCGGTTGGCGAGGCCTGACAGCGGCTGGGTACGTTATGCTGGAGCCACCACCGCGCGGCGGGGCAATATGACACCTGTTCGGCTCTCCGATCTTGCTACCACTCTACTCCACCATATGGTCAATCGGTGACACGTCTTGATGACAAGATATGAATCCTGTTTGCGGAGTTCTCGAGCGCTACCATGCTGAGCCGGTGGGCGGGGGGGGGTCCGAGAAGCGGTTATTGTTTGTTACCTGGCATGAAACATCTTGCTCTTGCGGTGGAGGGAGTAAAACGTGAGCAGGTGATCCACGCTGATGTTGGTGGACTTCTCGTATCGCCTCTTGAGCCTAGAACTTAGCACCATCATCAGGCAGGCCTGACGAGTCGTGCGTGTAGGCATGTGCGGCAACGCGTGGTATTCACATTTTTGTGCTTAGAAAGTCATGGGTTCCGGCCAGTCACGGTACTACTACTGCAGTGACCACCTACTACGGCAGACACGATCGTATTCTCAGTCTTGTGGTGGGCATCCCAGAAACTAAGAGAACCCAGTAAGTTTCGTCAACCGGGGCTCAAAACTCCTGTTCCGTGCGTCGGGCATCAAGGTGGGTCTGACAGCCCAAAGAACAGCAGTGTGCCGCTCTTCGGATGTTTGATGATGTTGTCTGAGGATGTTTGCCCCTCGACTTACGGCTGACCAGGTAGTGGCCTAGGATTGGTTTGTATCGTGATGAATCATAGACACTGACTGACAGCAGGCCGCCCGCGCGTTGCTGCTAGTGCGCTGACTGTTTCGTATCTCCAAGAACAGCGTGGTAAAGAAAGCGCTTCGAATCAGTGATCAGGAACCACACCGTATTACCCTCCCACGATATAACAGACACGGTGCTGGTACCACCGCACTCGACCAGACGGGTGAAGGCATCTTGTGCACGGCCACGCCTACCTCCCATGCGAGAACGCGCACTGATATGCAGAGAAAGACGCAAAGTCTCACACTCCCTTGGGATAACCGCGAGCTCTCAGCAGGAACACTTCAACCACAGAACGTAGGGCTTCTACTCTCAGCTCAAAAGGAGGAACTTTTGTTCCGTGGACAATTGTGTGAAAGCCAGTGACACTGCTGATTTAGGTGCCCTGCCACCCTCACCTGAGCCACAAATATCAACGTCGTGAAGAAAATGACGATGTGTGCAAACTCGAACGTGTAGAAGCCCAGGGTGCTACCCACGCTCCCGAACTGCAGCAGGAGGAAGACGCCTAAGGAGATGAAGCCCATGATCATCAACTCTGGATATTTCAACGGTTTACCGGCGGCACGGAAGTCGCGAAGGCAAAAACAGAGAGCGAGTAAAGGCGTGTTGAAATGATAGTTCTTGCACGCTCCGCGTTGGCAAACCCCACCGTGAGGAACGGCCACTACGCAGCATCAGCAGCTGTATCATTGCACTTCCTTGTCGTTCAAGCCCTGAAAGGTAATCGTCACTTGGTGCAGAGATGACAAACTAGCGTTTTTCGTACTCAGCACACGGCCACATGAAACGGTACAGAACATCAAATACACCAATCGTTCCCAACTACTTGAACACAACCTCCCTACGTGAAACGTTTATTCACGCGCATTGACTTTGTCTCGCAACTGTTCATTTTCGAACTGTGTAAGTGCGTTGTCTGACGTAGACACGTACCCTTGTAGATCTTGGCGAGCATTCCCATGTACGGTGTTCCCGCAAGACGGTGCTCCAAGCGGTGCGCAGCCATCTCAAAGGCAACAGTGAATCCCACCACGCCCGCAAGGGCAAGCGTTTCGTTGGTAACGTCGATCTGGGAGCCGAGTCCGAACACGCTCAACTCCACGGTTGCCATGACGGTTTTGCTATGGTTGTCTGGTCGAAGCCGCTGGCTGGATTAGACTAGTTTACTGACTGCACTTCAGAGAGCAACCGTTCATCGTTTCCGCGGCGGTAAACGCTCTACCGAAGTGCAAAAAGTAGTCACCGGAAAGCACCGTGACATTGGCGTGGTAGTTGTCGGTGCACGAAGGAGACAAGGGGAAGAGCGATTGTGGGAAGGACCACAGCAACTGCACTACACACTCCTCCACCTCTGACCTCGCAAGCGCACCGCCAAAAGCTGCCCCAAGTGAGTGACACGCTGTCCTACACGCGTGCGTGGGTTCGGCAGCAACTCGTTTTGAATATGGATGGATATGGTCCAAGTACTACTGACAGGTGTAGCGTCCCATGGTATACTAGTTTGAACCTTATTGCCCGGCTTGATTTGGGGATCAACATACACAGCATGAGCGGATTTTGTCTGACTCCAGCTCCGTCATAAGTTATCGCCTGATATCTACATAGCCTGGCCAAAGTTGATGTGCATGCATGCACCGTCGGGACTGCTGCTGTACAGCCGTACATCCGGCTGTTCACAAGCCGCCGCGTAGCCTAGGGCTACATACAATGGTCTCGACCTCCGTGTGTGTCCAACACAATGTCGTCTAAATAGGAGAAATAAACACAAACACCGAAAGACCGTAGTGGAACTAATATGCTATGTACATCCAATTACAGAAAGACTGCAAGTATGTAATCTACCAATCTACCAAACCACGAGAACTAGAATACTGTAGACTACAATATTGTAAGCACGCAGTAGTTTATGTGTGTGTGATCCTTCCTGGTATCGCTGCTCAACTGCTGTCGTTGCTCACATGTGGCGTTCCCGTTGCTCCATGCGACTAACATCGCCACCGATATTCAGATCCTCAAAAAGGGTGGCATGTGTCCCGATTCAAGTGCGTCAAGTGCACTGAGCCCTTGGGTGTTGTTGTGGCGCGTCAAAAGTTATAGGATAGTGAGTAAATAGTAGCCTGATCACAACATGCGGCGAGATTCGTTTACATGGTCCGCAACCAACCATTTGAAACGGTCGGTGTCGGAGGATGTCGACAGTCGACAGTCCCGCGAGTTACAAGCCCCATCGCTGTTAGCCGAATGCCACAAGAGGCACACTATGCGGCCTGCAATGAGAGAACATCGGCCACCACCGGTGTCATCTAGATAACACACTGGTTTTGTCCTTCGCGACAGTCAGCACCGACACCAGGTCGAACTAAAGCGTGGACGAAGAAGTATGTGCCCGGGTAGTAAAAAGAAGAAGGTGTCGATCTCCATCCTATTCCTCGCGATCTTTTTTTCGACTGTCGGCGGCCAATGCTACAACCAGTGCTCCGGAAACGGAGAGTGCGACCCGCAGGGGTTCTGCGACTGTTGGGACGGTTACGACGGGTGGGATTGCTCGTTCTTGAGGTGTCCGTCAGCCCCAGCCTGGGCGGATATAGCTTCTGGAACAGACGACGCCCACAACGACGCCGTGTGCTCCAATATGGGGTACTGCAACGGGTGAGGCAAATCTTGATTCATGCATGGATGTGCGGGGAGGGATACGCTACCGGTGCATGCTGGTAAACAACTGAAGCACCAATACGGCTCTCTAAGATTCATACGCAACGTATCGGGCGGTCGCGAAAACCCCACGTACCAAACCTACCGACTCACATGTATGTTTGTTTACAGCTGCACACGACATCACCTTGTTCATCCAACAAGCTTGCGGACTTTTTGAAAATACTTCCCGCGCAGGGAGACCGGGCTCTGCATCTGCCACGAAGGCTTCACCGGACGAGCGTGCGAGCGAATGTCTTGCCCAAACGACTGCAACGGCCACGGACAGTGCCTCTCCATGGCCGAGGCTGCCGCGGCGGAAGACGGAAACAGGCTTATCCACGTCGCGTCTTACGAGGCTTGGGACGCCGATATGATATACGTGAGTGAAAACGTTGTGGCAATATAATGTGTTTGCGTCCGAAGAAGGGTTATGTTATCCCCGTACGTCAACTCGTTATCTCAGCAGTTTGTGCTCACCCACAAACGCTGTTGTGAACCTGCACAAGGCCTGTCGTACCTAGTTCTGTGCCTTGAGTGACCGCCTTCACGCCAAAAATTACGTGTTGGTATGGACTACGTCTTCAGCAGATTATTGATTATTGAACGATTCTTGGCCCCTTGGTGGTGGTGTTGGTGGTGGTTGGTACCTTTGCACTCTTGTGGCACGCGTGCCTTTTTGGAAGGGCTGCACCGTCTGCGACGGAGGGTAAGGGCTGAATTTTGTTTCTCGTTCACCGCCTGTGGTCACATTCGCCCCGGCCCTGGTTGGTTGGAATACACATTGATTGCTGCTTGTGCTCCTGCGTCCGTCAGGGCTGCGTCTGCGATGAAGGATACGAAGGCTACGACTGCAGTCTTCGGCCTTGCCCCGTGAGCGACAGCGCACTCACCTCTGGGCAGCAGGACGAGAGTGTGGTCTTGTTCTGCAGGTGACCCCAACGCGACTTGAGTGGCGCTGGATGGGTTGGTTGTAGATTGAATGAGAGTGTGCGTCGTTCCGAAAGTCCTGGTAAGTGGCATTTTTGGTCGCATTTGTCTCGATCCCAGGACTATCAGCTGAAGTGATGACAGATGCTTCCATATGTCTCTTTTTTCAAGTGTGTTATTGCTAAGAGTAGGTTTTGGTAGAAAGGTAGGAGGCTTTCCCTAGCTAGGAGGCTTTCCCTAATGTTGAAACAACATAAATCTATTGTTTTCGGAAAACAAGAGTTGGGATGGAACAGCAAGTTGGCATGGAAGACACCCAGGGCTTGCGTGGAGATTCGAAGCAAAAACATACCGATGAAACAAATCGGAAGGTGTCCGGTGTATAGCCACTCCTCTTGAAGAGGCAATGCCGGGTTCAAACGAGCTTTCCAACTATGCAGCGTCATGAGTACAACACGGTTTTTCTGGGCGTCTCCCTCGCAACTGGGCAGGTGCGGCGACGACTGCACTAACACATTTCGGCTGCGTTACAAGGGGCAGTACGCGACTATCAGCCCTTTCATGAGCGCTGGGGAAGTCGCCGACAGGATAATGGCAATGTCTAGCGTCAAGGTAGGCGCGTCCAGGAACAAATTACCTCTGATGTCATTGTGGCCCCTGTCCATTTTGCTGGTCGACAACCGCCAATCACTTACCGTAAAGTGCGTCAACTATACATACAATTCCGAATACCAAGCTGTAGAACATGTGTCTTGCGCCGTTCATCACCCGCCCTTCCCCTCCACCCCCTTGTCCTCGCCGCCTACACCCCTGTGTCTCCGCTGGGATGATGGTCTGTTTGCAACACGTCACGGGGGTCTCATGCACACGAACCACACCGGGGATCTCATGCACACGAACCACACCTACTTAGTCCGATGCTACGGAGTACACTTCTCCTCCGGTGGTCGCCACGTTTTCGGGCGCAGCCACGGTGTGCAGTTCCGAGGGAACGGCGGCAACAATCACGTTCACGAGGGACCCGGGAGATCTCCCTCCGGTGTTCATCAAGTTCGACAAGCTCACCTCCAGCGAAGGTGAAAATAAAATGCACGAGGTACCTATGCATGTAGCTTTTGCCTCAGCCAAAGCGAGACCACCCTCCGGAAAACATCAATTCTAGCTAGGGCGTGGTCTACGGGGGGGACTTGTACATACAGCAGTTTCGAAGTTTCCATGTTCTTGTTTTGGGAGGGATATGGCTCGGAGACGCAAGCTGTTGGGTAGAGATAGCCGACGTTGGACACGGTCGGCCTTGCGTTGTTTTTCTAGGCATTGTCGGAAAGGTTTGACAAGAAAAAGCTATTTTGTTACCTCCGACAACAAGGGAGGGCGAGACCAAAGAGAACGACTGACTTTTGATACAACCCATCAAACACTCCCTGTTTGTCGGGACGGGTGGGGGTAGGGGCGAAAAAAACCGTGGAGTCTGATCGAGAAACTGGTCTGTTTACTCCCCTGAAGCGATCGATATCGATGGTGACAATGAAGATGTAAAGATGAGTAATTGCTCTTGTCGGTGTCACAAATACCAGTGCCAGGTTCATCGCCATGTGACATGGTGCAGGCGGTGAGTCCGAAAGGGTAGTATTCTCATACGGCGCGGGCGGTTAAGAAGTCGACCCGTTGACGTCAGCATTACGTAGTAAGCCCAGTACCCTCTGCGGTACCGCTAACTAATGCATACGTCTGTTTCCATACTTCTCTACACGCGCTCCATTAATTGGTTGGAGTATGTTTCGGGGTCAGAGTTTCGACAAAAGAGTATGCACCCGTGTGCGAATTTTCTCTTTGTGTTTGGCGTTGCACCAAGACAAGACTCTACTCAGCCTAGTATTCACACACAGGCTGTGGCGCAACCACACACACGCGCGCGAAAGCGTCTATGCCTGCATCCATACGTACCCCTGTTTAAATCCTGTGTGTTCTACTCGACTCTATTCTAGGCACATGTGGAATGTGAAAAACTCTCACCAACACCCATGGCAGCCACACGATGATGCTTTTTTTCATATTGAGCCTCGTGCATTTCTTGCCGTTCACAACAACGGCTACATTATCATTTCCAACCTACCTGTTGCTCTCTTTTCTACCAGGCTCCGATGTACACATGACGACGGAGGCGACCCTGGTGTGCACGTGCGTCGGAGCTTGCGGGGGGCACTTTCGCTTCGTCGGGGACCGAGGAGAGGCCACGGAAAAGCTCCCGTTCAGCGCGGGCGAGAGTATGATACAGGTGACGTTGGCAGGACCCCAACTAGCCATGATATTGGTGATGGATTGGGACGCCATGCAAAGGAACGGATGTGAGGCTGTGGATGTTCAATCGCTGAAATTCACAAGTGGAATATTTCCCCCGAGGGTGAAGAGATTCAACGCCACCATCATCGTGTCCATGACGAGGGGGTTAAGCGCGCGAGCGAGTGCTGCAGAGTATGTGGGGCAGTACATGAGCAGCGGAAGTGTAGTTGTGTAGTTGTGACCAGAAGACTAACTTCTTATTGTCGATTGTGTAAATCTCCCTGCGACTAGACACCAGAGGAGACATTTGATTGGTGATCAGCCACGGTATCTTAGGAAGTTGGTGCCGTGCAACGACAGAGGAGAGGGGGGGGGCTTGTGGTGGGTTATGCGAGCAGCAGAACGTGCCGATTGACGGTACATCATGCAATTCAGTCACGCTTGGTGAATTCGCTGTACAACGAAGTAGTACGATGTAGGGAGAAATAACGCACAAATTGCTTGAATTCACGCACGACTATCTCGCGCTGGACGCTTCATGCGTCTTCGTGGAAGCGTACCTCCCCACTCAACCCAAGTGAAGGGGAAGAGTGTACAGCATGCCCCCCCCCCCTACCTCCTCCGTCCTTACAAACAAAAACGAGCGGTTGTCATTGCGGCTACGCGACCCGAACTAGGGCGATACGCCGACATAACCCTTGTCAGCGCGGCTTGTACAACTCATAAGAGAAGGCGAAACGCTAATAGCTGTCGATAGCAGTTCTTCCGGTCAAGGACAATAGCGCTCCCTAGGGGCGAGTTCCGGCCGAAAACGTCGGACTCGAAACCTTTTCAACTCCGATCTCCCTCACTTCTTCTAATCATCTACTCCAGGTGGCGAGACGTTGCGAACCCATATATGACGGAAAACAACGCACGACAAAGCCGCCTGCTTCCGCGTTCAATCCGTGCTCGCCCTTCCTCCGGCACACACACACCAACCCGCTACCTTTCCATATTTGGGCGACTCAAAAAATGCAATGGAATTCCAGACGACGCTGTCAAGACTGTCGGATCTCTCGTCAGCCAACATCACGGTGACCATCTCGGACGGCGTAGGCTCGGCTTGCCAAGATTCGGCCACCGTCAACACCACAATCGCCGTCGACCTGGACTATGGGAACTACCCTCTCCAGGTGATGAAGTACTTGATGTTGTTGCGCGTTTGTGTTCCTTACCTGGTGGGTGCGGAGCAATCAGGCCATGGTTGCGTTCCAGTCTTCGCCAAACCCCACGTGCAGAGATTTTGTGTTGGGAGAGCAGGCACTCGGCCCTGCGGAAGAAGTTCTTGTCCTTTGCGGCGGAGGTTGACAACAACGATTGAATCAGTAGAACTAAGCAGACATTCCGCATACAGCACCAAAGATGAAAGCACCAAGCAAATAATGAACACAGCTCGTGTATTACTTCCGAACGACCGATTTCAACAACAACAACAACAACGACAACGACAACAACAACAACAACAACAACAACAACAACAACAACAACAACAACAACAACAACAACAACAACAACAACAACAACAACAACAACAACAACAGGTCGTTCCTAGTCTCTTCGACGACGGACAGCAGCAGCAGGAGGACGAGCCGCCGATGATGACTCTGACGACAAACGACGGTGACAAGGAGCAGGAATACTGCGCCGGTCTAGGGTCGTGCGACTTCAGCACGGGCCAGGTGTGGTGGTGTGAAGGCGGGGTCGCGGGTGATGCGTGGTTCTTTGAGAATATGCCGGTGTTTTTTTCGTGCTGGTGTAAGGTGATGATGCGGTGATGCGAGTAAACAATATGGTCATGGCCGCATGCGTGCCTAGCACGACGTCGGTGTGACGCCGTGTCTACCCTCGCCGTGCCCATGCATCCTTTACGCTGCCTCACGCCCCTTGTTGCGCCGGTACCGTACTCGTACGCATGAGAAAAACACAGGAGAGGCGATCTTCATGTCGATCCTATATAGTATCCCCCCTCGCCCTCGTAAAAAAGTCCTCCAAAATCGTGTGGATGGAAATCATTTAGGTTCGCCAGCCCTTTTAATACATGCATGGCTCACCCGCTCAGCAGTGAACATGGTGACCGAAGGAGATCATGTTGTGCCTAGTGGAGAACACGAGAGAGAGCTCTATCAAAAGGGAGTGGGCGTGGGAGTGCCAGGGGGTCTCTGCCAAGCACCCGTGATGCGGCCGCAGAGCATTCCCATAGCAATCTCTGGAAGCGCCCATAGACATGCGAAGCTATCAACCACGCAAAGCATGTCGGCACCAAACTTCCCGAGCCCATCTCAAAACCCACTCTTGGGAGGCAGCGTGCTTTCTCATTCTGCTCAATGACCGCGATCCACGGATGAAATTATTGCCCCACGAGAAACACGAGAGTCTGTAGTCTCGCGACCACGGTCACCACGACAGAGGAGAATCCTCGCGTCACCTCCTCTTGCCTCGTCCAAAACTGTGGATGCGCGTTAAGTAGTCCGACGACCAAAGCCAAGCAAATATACGAGTAAACCCCGTCCCGATCCTTTTTCCGCGGCATCTACGATCAGTGTACCTGCGACGAAGATTACGAGTACGACCAGGAGTACGGACCTTGCGGACAGTACGTGGTCGATCATTCTCATTGGGCCGGACGCCAGATGTGAGTGGGTTGGTCACACAGGGGATGTCCACTCAAGCGACCCCTCTACCATTGGATTGAGCGTGGATCCATCTCCAAGCATGTAATCTGTCCCCCAATTCGTCGCTGGACTAGGAGGAGTTCTGTTGTCGAGGAGAGGTTCTTGTTCCTGCTAGCGATGCAGACGGTCTCCCTTCGTGCTGCCATTCATGATCATTCCAGGTATCTTGTATATCTTCCAGGGCGTCAACCACCTGACATCTCCAAGACGTGTCGCCCATATGTTCATGTCATCTTGTTGTCGCAGCAGCTTTCACTATCGTTGCTGACTGTTGGTTGTTACCGCCATCGCTGCTTTTGTTGTCTCCCCGACAAAAATCGTGCGCCCTGTGGTTGGCGCGTGGAATACGTATCTCGTCCCTTCAGGTGCCCGGGATTCGTCCTGCGACCGAGCTTCCTAGCGCTTGGCACAGAGACAAACGAGTGGAATCTCTATTTTACAGATGGGGGCGACAACTCCTCCGACCCTTTCACCGAAGATGATTCGTTCGACTCTACAGTTGTGTTGCCCGGGTACTACTGGTGAGAGAGTCCACCTACTCGAAAAAGCTGGTTGTTGTCAATGTCGTTGTTGTTGTCGAGCTGCGCTGTCGCTTGAAGAATTATGGTGAGATGAGGTTTGCTTTTGGGAGAGGGGAGGGTTTTCAACTCGACTAGATTTAACGCGTTCATTCTTCTCTTTGCCTCTCTTCATCTGTGTCGCAGGGTGTTTGTTTCTGACCCTGGTCCTCTACCTACCCCCGCGGTGCGTGTGTCATGTGTATGGGGCGAGAGGGCTGTAGGTACAACGAACTCCGGGACGGGGAGACTACAGACGACACCCCCGACGACGGGCGCATCATCTTCGTCAACGCCACCGATAACACAACCGATCTCTCCAACGCACTCGCGCTCGACATGACGTACCGAGTGCTGTACTACGGCCACGAAAACCAGGTGGGCGGGTGGAGAGATTTAACGTACAAAGGGTTGCGAACACGGGAAAGACAAAGGGTTTCGAGATAACTGATGCCGCCACCAAATAGATGGAAATTGTGTTGTAGATTGGTAGAGAAACCGAAACATTTTCATATGGTTCATATAGGAAAGGTTCAAAACTTCACCACATCTAGATCTCGAAGGGTCTGCCGACAATGTCGTGCAAACTTGAAAATTCGCGGCTGGCAGGTGATGCGAGTACCCCTGCCGAGCGACCTGGTCGCCGAGGGAATATGGCACGCCGCCAACGGCACAGCCGACGGCCTTGCGGAGGCGTTCGTCACCCTACCCGGCGACGAGCGGCCGGGCTACCTGGAGATGGATCTCAGGCCCGACAAGAGATACCTCTACTTGACCGTCCCCGGCAACGACAGCGTGCCGGACGGAAGGGTGAGTCGAGTCAAAACGATGGTGTGCTGCTTGCTTCGGGAGGCGTGTTGTATGCACAAAGACCGTGGAAGAGGTGATGGGTGGCCATGCTGCTGTGTGAAGACGGTACAATGCAACGTTTTGTGTCGATTCGTGTATTGTGAGTCTGTTGTTTGTGTTCTTCAGAGTTTTGATGAGCAGTGTGTCTTCTTTCTTGACGACGGAAGCCGAAATATGGTAGCTGGGCGAGTTGTTGTGAAACGGCATGAGGATTCCAGCCATACTTCATTGAACATTGAAAAACAACGAGTAAGGAGGAGAGCTTCCTCTCTCGCGTACATCTGTATCATATGTACTTGTTGTCCCCCACTCAGCATCGAACAAATGCCGGCCGAATCAATCAGTGGTTTCCATCTCATAAAGCGTGTTAATGTCTAGCCGCCCACCATCCCTCCCTTGCTGACACCCTGCTTCTGCGATGGTGCTAAAGCATCACATGCCGTAATACACTACTTGAAGTTTATTTCGTCCCGACGTCGGTAGCTGTGATCGGGTTCCGTGCTACATCTCTCACCCCGGTCGAAACCCTAGGAATTCTCCTTGATCCGTGTCTCCCTGGCTCAATTTCAAACCAATGTCTAGACAGAGGGTTCGAAATGGGCTCGAACGGCAGCGAATCCCGCATTTGTCGCCAATGTGTAGCCAAGGCGGGCTCCAACATTCAACCCTTCGCGACTTCTTGGTTGTATCCCCTGCCTCAAAACATAAATTTTGTTGACAGACTCTCTAAAACCATCAGCAATGCCACCAGCAACAAGGAACCATACCGCACGTGACTCTCACCAATTGCGCCCCACATTGATGCCAACCCTAATAATAGGCTGGAAACGAAACAGCGTACGAAACAGTACGAGCTCCCGCAAGCGACAAGGCCGTGAAAATCCCTGACCGCTAAGAGTATCGTACCCCTACATCGCTCACCCCAAACAGGTGCTTCGAAAGAAGCTTTCGAACGACAGCGATCCCATGAGCTACGAGGACCTGTCCGGTCCCATACAGTCCGGGATGCTCGACCTGGGGTACAACCTCACGGATCCGCTGGGGATCGCTCTGGACCTCGTGGATGAAAAGGAAAGGCAACGTGTACCACGACTTGTTCGTTGGTCCAACAGACTCGCGTTTGATTGGTGGTTGTCGAAGTGTCTGATCGAGTCGTTGTGTTTTGTCGAACGAGGTGATCACGCGATCGGATTCTTTCTGGGTTTGTGGTGGTGCTGTCGAGCGCGGTTAGTTGTATTGGAGGGTTGGTTGGCTCTCGGTTGATCCAAACGTTCGTTCACACGCTGTCGGCTAACATGACATAATCGGAATCGGTTTATCAAACGACTGGTCGTGCAATATTAAGCGTCCCGGATGTTAAGGACAAGAACGATGGCACATTTTCCTCCCTCCTTTGTGTTGATCGGTATATGTGTGTGTGCGCTCGTTGGTCTCAAGACTTGACTACGGTGAGTCACGAGGAAGATTGTACCCTTTAACACAACGACCCCCCCGTCCCCTCCCCCGTGCCCGAAGAACAGATGGTGGCCACAGAATTGCTGAAAGCAAAGGGAGCAAGCAACAAAACAGTTCCTGGGAAAAGCAGCCGGATTATTAACGGAATCCCACTGATGCTGGTGTCTCGAGTAGGTGTAGGCCCAAAGGGCAACGAACAAATTAGTGCGCCCGCCCCAAAAAGTATATTCATCCCCCACCCGCCACCCCCCACCCTCCTCGCGGCTGCTAACAGAAAAGGACGCGGAAAACATGCATTATACGACCAACCGTTGTGTGTGGCATATATCGACCTGTGTTGACCTTATTATGTCCCCTTAACTCAACCACGAAACGCAGACGGCACCAGGATAGAACAGCGTACACGCAGCACCAATTTTCTAGGGGAAAGAGCCTATAACTGCTTCCAACAACTTTGTCGTGAAACAAGGACCAATAAATAAGTCCACATGTGTGTGTTGTTTCCCAGGCTCGTTAAATTAGACTGATACTCGGACGGGGTGTGGCTGGGGCTTCTTCTTTGCCCTTGTCCACCCCCCACCCAACGCCCGTGGCAGGCATCCAAACAAACGACGTAGCTTCTTTCCTTCCCTCTAACTGAACCTCCCCCTCGGCCCTGCCTTCCAATGGTAAACAAAGTAAAAAGACCGGTATCCCCCACTCACCACTCCCATACCGTGCCCACCTCGCGTCCGCACGTGATGCGCAACAAAACGAACAGATCTACTTTGTGGACGCTCAGGTTCGAGGGAAGGACGGAGGGGAGGACGGGGTGGTCATTAGATGCGACCTGGATGGGACCTCGGTGGAAATTGCCGCATCTCAGAACATGTCGGATCCACGGGTGAGGTCAGGCGTTGTTGCTGTTGTTTTTCCTCTGTTGTTGGGCGGAGTTGCATGGCGTTGGTGCGGTGCTGGTGGAAGGCTTATCGTGCGTATGACGACCTATCTATCCTGAGTGCAGCGGACTCCATATCGTCGTGAAAGTCACTGTTCCTGCCGTCTCCTCCAGTACTGCTGTGCAGGGTCACACCTAGGTAATACTTCCCTTTTGTTTATCCGCTTGTTGCGATATTTCGCACCATTCCGACCGTGTGCCCTTTCAGGCCCTCGTGCTAGACGTGAGGCTCGCCGTGATGTACCTCACCGACACGCACGTCCCCTCGATCATGCGGGGAAACATGCGGAACTACACCGACGAAGGGGTAAGCGTGTCTAATCAGCCGAGGGAGAACCGCACGTCCGCGCGTGTGCAATGTTCGTGCTATTCGCAGATAGATCTTTTTGTGGTGTGTGTGACATTATCTTGAACAATAACCAATCCCGAAATTCCCACCCAGATCGTCACGATATTGAGCGGCGTGACCCAAGAGCGACCCGGCGTGCTCCAAGTAGAAGATTACTACCAGGCCCTCACAGACCCGCAGGCCCTCCAGCTAGACACCAGGCTAGAGGATCTCGACCTGCTGTACTTCTCCGACTACGGGACGGGATATATTTACTCGGTGAGAGCTAAGGAGGCCTGTCTGGTGACCCCCCCCCCGCCAATCCCATCCCCAGTGCGACAAAAACAACCATCTAGGTGTCCAAGCTGATCATCCGCAGGCAACAGGAACAAGGGAGTATCGCGCCTTTGCGACCTTCACTCCCAGCAATTTCCTACCTTTTTCTGTCCTTTTTTCTGTTAGAAGTTGCAAAGTGATGTGTTTCGAGCGCTTCTTCTTTGGAGAACAGCAGTAACCAGCGTAGGTCACCTGAGGGGTGAAGCAGGAAGATACAAAGGACCCGAACTTACTAGTTTCCCTAAAACCTCTTTGACGTTTGAGTACCTTACGTTGACCGCGACGTCAATGCATATGTCGATGTTGATGATCGCCTCACTGCCGGCGCGACGTGATGGAGCATGTAGATGTCGCTGGGATGGCGGTGCGACATGAGAACCCCACAACACACACACAATTATCCCCCAAAGCGACTTCTCTTTCAGGACGGGGTTGTTTGACGGAATCCAGAAGCTGTCGTCCCTTTCGAGGAGGCAATCGGGCGAGAGCGGGTTGCACTCTCTCTTTCTCTTGACGGTGGTACTAGGGTTCGGCCCAAATGAATCTGTAGTGTAGTGGTCGCGGCGGTAAGAAGGGCTGAAAAACAAGCGCATCGTCAGGTCTGCCGTTGACAACTTTTGAAGCGTTTCACTTCCCTCACTTGTCCAATGCGCCGTGTTTCTATCCCGTGTCGATGTTAACCCGCTGAAAAGTCCTCCTTGTACCTATAGCACTACCACGTTTGCTCTCTCCATGTCGCATTCGCTTCTCCCCCTCAAACTCCCGGGTTTGAACAGCATCACTTGCTCTACACCCGGGCTTTGTGCGTGCTGGTTCCGGACAATACTGATCGCGTGGTCAGGCCGACTACCAGCTTTTAGCCTGCAAGGGATATTATTGACGCCCCCTGTGTGCTTGACGTCACCATCGCAGTGCTCATTTCTGTTGTCCAATGACAATGCTTATCCCTATGTTCGTTTTTTCTTCTCCTATTCTTTCTAATAAGTTCGATCAACGAGCTCCTGGTGCTGCCTTGCTCTTGTTCCGTTCGCTTTCTGTCTTTTGTTCGGCAGGTTGAAACCGACGGCAACAACGCGAACGCATTGATGCGCATGGGCAGGCCCAAGTCTTTCGTCTTCGACCTCGGAGAAGGCTACCCTACTTTCACGCTCTACTACGACTGTCACGGCCACGGCGTGAGTTCAAAGCACGCCGACAACGGAGCCGTCAAAAATGATAAGAGTAGAACTTCAGCACAATAGCCAGTGGCTCCTACAATACAGAGGGTGAAGACGAGAGGAGAAACGCTCGAATCGCCAAGCAAAAATTTCGCTGTCGTCGTAGGTTCGCTTACTCACGCCCATTTATTTGTTTCTGGACCTACGGGTGAACACGGCGGTGGCGGTGGCTCTTCTACATGACCTGAGAGTGTCGTTGCGGCTAGATGCGGTAGAGATGCGTAAGAGTCCGGTCAAGGAGATGCTAGAGAGTAGGGAGGAGGCAAGTATTTGAGCAACAAACAGCCAGCTGTGACTGTTCGACTCGTGAGCGTCGAGTGTGTTGACCATAATCTCCACCCCTGAAAACAGCATTCGAGAAACAGAATGGAAGGTACGCTACACCAGACTATTTCACCGCAAAATGACGGTATCATCACACCTCCGTTTTGTCTCCACGCGGTCGGCAACATGATCTTGCTGAAGGTCCAAGTTATCCTTCGTTTCCTGTACCCCACGCTGCGTAGACAGGTCATAGCTGGCTCTGAAGTGAAGTCGACTACAGGTGCAACATCTCACACATTACAGACGACGAAAATTATCACCACAACGTCAGGTGTGCAGCGGGGCGCCGTACTTCACTTGTTCTTGTGACGACGGGTGGGAAGGAAACTGCGCGCAGAGATCGTGCCCGGAGGTCAGAGACCATGACCGCCCCCTGTTCTTTCTGCCTCCAGTTTTGTTCCTACTATGCATATCCTTGGGGAAGGTTTTCTTTATTCGAGCCTAAATCGCCGTGTCGGGACTTTTAGCAATCTATAGATTCCCGCGCAGGCTTCGACGAATAGATGGTCTATGTCGCAGCAGCGTACTGTAAGGGTGAGCAACCGTTTCACTAGACTCGTCGTTGTCGCGTCGGCAGCTTCGTTGGTAGCTTGGCGCATCAGGCGTACTCTCACATCGTGTTTTCAGTTCCCAAACCCTGCTTCTGGGAGTCCCTGCCCGTACCATCGTGCCCGACAACAATGCCTGGTCTAAATTGAATATCAGTAGTACGAGAAAAGAGTGTGGTATTGAAAGCTCTCACGCATGTGGCGTCTCCCCTTTGCCCAGGGCCCGGCTTGGTTTGACGAAGCAGCCACCGACGGGACGGCGCACGCGTACGCCGAGTGCTCCGCCCGCGGCCTCTGCGACCGCGAGACGGGCGTCTGCGCGTGCAGCGATGGTTTCACAGGCGATGCGTGTCAGGTACGCCGGGAACTGATTACAGCGGAGTTGAAATATGCGAGAGAGGCAGGGACGGCCGTCGAAAAAACAAAGCAAGAACAGCGCAATACTGTGCCCCCCACACACCAATAGTACTCGTTGTGTTAACATGCTGAAGGCAATGATGCGCAGCCGCACAAAGCAGCAACCTCTAGGTAAGCTATATGCGGTCCCTAAGAACGGTACACGCTGTTGTTTTGCTGCAACATCCTACATGTGTTTTAGCTATTGTGACCGTCTTCGTTTCCCTCGCTCTGCCCCCTTGCCCCACCTCCGCCCCCGCTTTCACACGCTTAGCGTATGACGTGTCCCAACGACTGCAATGGTAATGGCAAATGCTTGTCCCTGCGGCAGCTCGGGCTGTTAGCGCTAGATTCCGACTACGTGCCGAGTCCGTTCGTGTACGGCTCGACGGCCGGAAACCAATTAACGTGGGATGCGGATGCTGTCTACGGTTGCTACTGCGACTGGATGGTGAGCGGATGGGTTTGGTAGAGAGTCTACACATGGTACTAGAAACAGGCGAGGGGGGGGGGGGAGAGGGGGGAAGCCACAGTAGAGTGAAGAGGGAGGGGGGAAGGGGCGGTAGGAAAACGCCGACGAACGCTATGCCAGATATTTGCTGCCATAGGATCGACGTTGCCAACACCGAATGAGGGTATATCAGAACTTAGACGTTGTGCCTTGAGGCATCCACCCGCTTTTCCACACACCGTCCAAACGAGTCACCCCTTGCGTCTTTCCCCGCTAACTCATAGTCTTGATGAAAACTATCATCTCGTCACCTCTGTCTTACGTCAGCACAAAGCAAGACAGTATCCCCACATAGGCTCCTGCAGCACCACTCCCCAGAAATTCTGCCAAGCAGTGATCTACCGCTGCTCTCTCTACATTGTATGATATCTTACCTCTGGGATGAAACATTTTAACCGTTTTGTCAGGGGTATCAAGGTGGTGGTCCTTCGTATACGAACCTGTCTGATTGGACAGGCTACGACTGCAGCCGGAAGTCTTGCCCGACGGGGGACGACAGAAAGTAAGCAAGCTTAAGCTGTACTTCGCTGCACACCACGTCGTCGTGAGAAATAGAACATCAGTCCTTGCCGAGTGGCGTAAACACGTACGACGAGGATCTAATACCGCGTTACCCAAGCATACGTTCGTTCGCCCCTGGCGACCTGCCTAGCGCAAGGGAAGGATGAACATACGTGTTTATACTTATCTCCTTTCCTGTGACTCCTTCTCTGTCCCTTCACAACTAAAACACAACCAGGGCCGCGATGTTTAACTCCACCGACTTTGAGCGGCAGAACCTCACGTGCACCTTGGGCAGCGGCGTCGTGAACGCCTCCTTCTCAATCTCATTCAGGCAGGGGACCACCGACCTGATGACCGGAAATTCTACCCTGTTGGATCTGGAACAAGCACTGGAAGGCCTGAGCACCATCGGAGACGTAGAGGTGCCCTGAACACTGCCACGGGTATTTCTACGATAGGGTAAACATACAAATAGTGGCGTGCGTGCTGACCATGGATATGCAGCCACGAAGATTGTATTTCGGCTGCATGCTTCGGATCTCGTGCACCAAGGGATATCACTTCAGCAAGAACGAATCACGGCCAGCAGCTGCTCCTCTCCTCGTCGTCCGTGCGACACCACGGTCACAGACGAGTGCATTGTGCGCTGGGAGCAACGAAAGCACGCATCAAAGGGGCTCGTACCTTAAGCCTATCGCCATATGGTCAAGCGGTCTGCACCGTCCTCACTCCTGATCCAACGATTGATCCAGTTTGACACACACCACGTGCCAGCTCTCCTGCGTGACACGGTGATTCATGCTTAGACACCCCCCTCCCCTCACATGTCCCCCGCCCCATTCCATCTCGTCGTCCTCCCTCCCATCACTTGCCCCCCCCCCCCCTCCCACCAAGGTGACCATGGTAGGACACGACAGCGATTCCCACGCCACCGCAATGCTCTGCAACTCCTCCAGTGGCCACCCGGCGTCTATCGTCTTCAAGACAGAGCTCGGAGACCTCCCTCTCCTCTCCATAGCCACGTCCACCTCCTCTCCCTCCTCCTCCTCCTCCGATAGCACTGTAAGCCTCGAGGTTGCCGAGGTCACCAGAGGCACCAAGCTCGACGCGGAGTGCTCGCGGCACGGCTACTGCGACTACGCCGAGGGAGAGTGCGTGTGCTTTGACGGCTGGGCCAGCAGCGACGGCGACGGCGCAGTCGGACACCGGCGGGATTGTGGGTGGTTCCCCGGCGAAGCGGGTGCCGTGGAAACGGTTTAGCGCGTGTGTCGAACCAAGAAGAGGCGATCGACCTACAGTAAACGGAGACATTTGAACCTGTTGCTTGGCAATATTTGGTGCGACAGCGGAAGGAACAGGTTGTTATTGATCATGCCCTCAGAAGGGTGACGAAGTCCAGGCAGTGACTTGGTTGGAGCACCGCAGGACATTACACTTGTATCAGCCACCAATTTGGTTTCTTTCCTGACCCCGATGAGGAGCGGTCAACGTTCTCCCCAACGGATGCCGCGGAGCTGTTGGTATGTCGACCGGTGGGAGGTCGTTCTACCCGCCTACGCGATGACCAATTCTCGATTGGGGTGGGATGAGATGGCGCCCGCGCGGGGGGGGAGGCCGAGGGTGAGAGCACCAACAATGGACAATGAACATCTCCGCTGGCTGTAATCTACCTACGATTGTTTCACAATGTGTATTCCTTTCTTTGTCGGTGGTACAACAGAGGTGGGTGTAAGAGTAGCCGAGAGAGCGCAGGAGGGCATACCGAATGCACAGAGGGAGAAAGACACCCATGTTCGTCGTCCCCCATTGTTTGGCCTGTCAATAATGGTCCTAGCAGCGGTTGTACGTCAGGGGGTACCCTGAGAAGTTTGTGGGGGTGCACGTACACTTTGAACGTGGGGTTCATAAGGTTGGGTTTTCCGCTCTGTGCCAGAATCCCTCTCTTTGGTTCGAGACTGCCTGCCGAATCCGTACAAAGCGAATAGTTCAAAGCTCTCATTTGGCAAGTGTATCGTTTGCTTGGAGCAATGTTGTGGGATTACACGCGTAGCGATTCCTCAAGGAATTACTCCGTAATATCGTTTGACACTTGCTACAATTCAGATCCCGTAACAGCGGGTGCAGGTCAGGTGTCATTGGTGAGAAAATCGAAAATCCATGAAGATTTGGAAATAATTGGGAGTGGTGTAAAATTTGATGATGGTTTGTTTGAGTGGTGAGTGAATGTGGACTTACTTGTAAATTTTACATCATCAGCGGATTCGGACAAATTGAACCAGTATTATTGACGTTTGGTTTTGTGCTGTTTTTATTTCAACAAAAACAACGTGATCCCCCCCCCCCCCCTGTTTTGATGCGTGGGGGTGCGTGAACAGTCACGATCCATTCTACGCGCCCCTCTGTCAAGCGACTCCGCGGCCTAGACAGAAGAAGTATTTGTGTTCTTTCTGTTGGAGCCGAGTACTTTTCGGACTTGGTTGAACGAAGTAAAGCGTCGTTGTTTCGGGGTATTGTCGGGGTGATACAGTAAGTAGCGTTCAACCAGTAGCAGGCAGGTCGCTTGCCTACGCTTAGTTCACTTGGCCGTCAAGCAAGGGCTCTAAATGCGTCTACGGCGCGAACCGTGGCTCTGAACGCTAGCTCCGCTTAGCTGGAAAAGGCAGTATTCCGGTATTCCTTGGCATGATCTACTCGGTATATGCATAGTTACGTTTGTTTGTTGTCCGGTAGGGCGGGTGTTTGGCGTGACCTTGCAAAAGCTAATTCGGATCGATCTAATAGGATGGGACCTCACTTCGCCCTCGAAACCCCGAGAGCAGAGTTGCGTGGGACATCTTGAGACCAATTCTCACCCACTTCACCCACACCCTTCAGGAAAATTCATCGAGATTTTGACGAAAATATCATCAGTGGTCACGAAGAAAGGGGAGGGCATGTGGTCTCTGCAAGGAAACTCCCACGACAACTGCTTGCTGTCCATTCCCCTGACTCCGCATGATACGCATGTTTGTTTTTTTTGCTTCGCCGTCACTCCGGTGTAGGGAACGGTAACCATCCCACTCACTCGTGCACAACAACAATTGTTTTCATGATGCTCGTATTTAGCTGAGTCGATTTGGGCCGTCATCCACATGACCATGATTAACAACCCACGCTCCATTGAAAGGCGCAAGCATTGAGGCCAGCGATGGGAGGGAGACTCGCTCGCCCTGTTCATTGATTCGCCAAATCAACCGGGTGTATATTTACATAATCCATCTTCGGCATCTTTGGCATATATGTGCCCTCTTGTGTTCGTTTTTCGTTGTTGAAACTCATCTGAAATCTACAGTCCATTCGTTTCTCTATGCATACGCGACATCCACGAGTAAACCCTTCGAGTACAAAAACGACTATCGACTGCTGCTGTCGCCTCTTTCAATCTCCCAACGACCTCAACGTTCAGCAGTAGTCCCAAAGATGATCATATCGAACTTTCCATGTCAACGTGCATGCCGTTCAGGTCAACAATTGCGCAGCGAATAGTGCGCCCCTAATTATGCTAAAACATGATGACCCTCTGTTCTCGGAGGAGAACATTTGGTGCCACCGACGCCGCCGGCAAGCGCCAAAGCTCCTACCGTGATACTCTCACTGCTACACGCGAGAACGGTACATACACAGCAGTCGTTCGCAGGCGAAATGCATGAGCAAAACGACAGGCGAGAACGGAAGAGCATCGCTTTGGGCCAATGGGAACTCAACTACGCTACCACGCTGTGCTGCCGCCCCGCACCCCCCCCTCCCGACGTACAATCCCCGCTACTGCTATTGGAGGTTCAGCTCCAGGGTCTACACATTCTAATGTTGCCCGGGGTAGGTGTGTGGAAAGGGCAAGGCCAAAAAGTCACTCGAAACACAAACACAAGACACAATGACACGTATCACAACACCGACAAAGCCGCAGAGGAACAAACACACTCGAACACAGAAAAAACGGGGCGGGTGATTTTGACTCATGACAAAGGTCGCATACGAAAATTCGGAAGTGTATGGTTCCTCGCGCTACATAGTTTAGTGTTGCTGCACACCGCCCTCCGTCGTAAACCCAGTTTAGTACTCATACGATAGATTGTAGTCTCCCCCCATCATCACTAGAAACACCGACGTATGTACCGTTCGCATCGCGAACCTAATCCTAAACTCTACTGCCATGCCGCTAGTCTCAACATACACATTTCATCATTTTTTCATTGGCCATTGATTTCAAGGTAGGGGCAGGGCTTGCGCGAAAGGGGGGAAGCGCAGGCAACACCAGGCCGCGCCAGCTACACCGCCCACGGCAACTACACTTCCACTACTGCTGTACAAGATTCAGATCCAAGCATCCGCAACAATCAATTCCAAACGTTTCGACAAGTTTCCAGAGAAAACAGCTGCGCCAACGGAGAGAATAGCCGGGGGAGGTTAGTCACAATCTAATGCGTGGCGAACCAAAAATTGGCCAAACAGGCAGCCCTGAAAAAAAGCACACAAAAGGGTCATCGTAATACACACAAAAAAGACAAATCTGGACAAAAAATCAGGGCAAAGAAAAGTGGCTTTCGACTCCGGCATGACTGGGTCCTACAAAAGAACCGGCCAGGACTCAAAAACAATCAAGACATCGGGCGTTAATAACTAAACAGGCACAAGGTGGTGAGGTTGGTCCACACAACACAAACATGCACACGGGTACCAAAACAAATCAACACTGGTACCGCAGCCCAAAAATCGGTCGGGCACTGGAGGCGGTATAGCTGGGAACACGGCTACACCACCGCTCGCGCCTTTCGACCCCCCTTCAGACGTCGCCTCTCCACACGAGTCGTTTCCTGCCTCTACTCTACTGGTTACGCACAACTACCGGCACAGCTGCATAGAGCGTCCGCAAACGCAAACCCACCGAACTGCTCCTCGAAGCCTCCACCTTTCCTTCACAAAAAAAACATCCTCAACACAGCAATTCTCTGCCAGTGTAGTAACGGATGTCGGCACCGCTCCATCACAGGCATTCAGCCCGCCCTCACGGCCACGCCCGATTAACTACTCGGCGCCGTCCCCATACTCTCGTCCTCCATACATCCTCGCCGTGAGTGTTGTTGTTGTTGTTGTTGTTGTTGTTGTTGTAGCTGCTGCTGCTGCTGCTGCTGCCGCCGCTGGCCATCGGATTGCCTCGTACCCCCCCCCACGTCGGCTGGGCAATCTTCCGGCTTGGTCGGCACCATGATGAATCCCCGCTGTCGCTGGGCCTGGATACCCTCCTCAACTGACGGCAACTCCTCCTTGGATGCCATCGTTGCGGCCATGCCAACAACAAACGACCCTCGCCTCTGCGATGGCGTACCGGAAGGTCCGCCAGACGTGCACACAGAGGCACGCCTGGGCGCCGGAGGTGCGCCCCAAGAAGGCGGAACGGACGCCGCCGCCGCCGCCGCCGCCGCCGCTGTTGATGGGCCCTTCTGGTCTCTCCTTCCTATCGGCGCCAACGGCGCCATCATCGAGCCGCGTCTTGCAGCCGCCGGCGGCGGCCCTCCCTCCTCCGACAACCCCGCAACCCCCGACAAACCAGGGCGCTGTGGCAGCGACGAAAACGTCCCGCTCTCGTTTCCGCTCTCACCCCCGAGCGCGCCCCCGTCCCCGCCGCCGAATATACCCCCCGCGCGCCGGCCATCTCTCCTCCCGGCAACACCGCTCTCGGCTGATCGCCCCCTTGGTTCCTGCCCCGGCCCGTCGTTGGCCGGGGCACCCCAAGCGGGGACGAACGCGCTCGCCGCGGCCGCCGCCGCCGCGGCCGCCGCCTGGCTCTGGTGGTTTGGCGGGGCGGCGGCGGCGAGCGGGCCAGGGCCGTGGTACGCGGCCTGCCCGCCGGTGCCGCCGGAGTCATCATCGAGCCGCGTCTTGGGTGTCGATTCGGCGCCTGATACTCTCCGACGTTCCCTACCCCGCTTCCTGCTCGTCGGCTGCCCATCCCCCGATCCTCGACCGCGCTCGTCGTCCCCGCGTCGGCGGCGTCGTCCTTGTCTTCTGTTCCCTCGTCGACGGGTGCACCCCACGCCGCCACCAACGTCGCCGCCGCCCCGCCCCCTTCTTTCGCCGCTGGCCCCGCCGGGTCGAGGACGGACCACCGCCGCCTGCCGCCCCCCCCACCCGCCTGGGCTGCCGATGATGCCGCCGCCGCCGCTGTCGTCGCCTTGGAAGGAGTCTCGCCCCGCGCGTAAGACGGCAGGTCGCCCGCGAACACCGCTGTCGCGGGCATGACGTGGAACATCCGCGCCGCCGCCCTTGAGCCCGGCATGGGGGGCCTGCCCCCGCCGCTCGGTGCCCCAGCCCCCGCTCCGTCTTCTCTCTGTCCCGCCGCCGCCGCCCCGGCCACGGCCTCCTCCTCGATCACGGCGTCCGGGTGCGCCAGCGTGAGCGACGGGGAGTAGCCCGGGCGGCCGTTGAAGGCGGTGACGGACCGCGAGGACGCGTTCGCCGACAGCAGGTCGCTGTAGTGGGCCACCCGCCCGGCGCCGGCCGGCACCGTGCGGGTCTCGTACGCTGAGTCCCGCCTGTGCATCTCGATCACCCTCGGCGGCAGGGCGCTCCCGTGGGTCACGAAGGCCGACGCGCGGCGGGGCTTCGAGGAGTCCTCGCTCTGCATCCCGCTCTTCCTCTCGGCCAACCTCGCCTCATCGAAGGACGCGGCTCTTCCCAACGTCGCCACGCCATCCCGCCTCCAATTCATCGCCGGGGAAGACGTGACGTACCCCGTGGTGCTGGAAGGCGGGCTCTGGTGTGGGTTCCAAACCTTCCGCCTTGTCGCCCGCTCCCCGTCCTGCTGCTGGGCGTTCCCAGCCGCCGCCGCCGCCGCCGCCGGCCCAGAGAAGAGGCTCGTGGTCTTCTTCGGGGTTCGGGCCTGCGCCGAGGCACCATCAGCGGCCACAGAAGAGGCATCGCGGCCGCTCTCGTCGACTCGTCCCTCGCGCCCGCCTCTTTTCTCCGCCGCCGACCCACTGACGGCAACGTGCGCCGGGCCGGGACGCGCGAAACCTGCAGCATCCTCTGGAGGCCCCGGGGGTGGCGGTAGAGGCGACGACGACGACGACGTCGCCGAGTCCGCATCCGTGTCGTACGGCTGCTGCCTGGCGCGGCCCTCGTCGCGCTGCCGCTTCAGGCCGCCGTGCGGGATATCGTCGAGGAGGGACTGAACCGAAGGAAGAAGCGGGGCGGGCATGGAAGACCTGCGCGTGTGCTGCGTTTTCAAGTCGGGGAGCACGGGCTGGATGATTGGCGCCACGGCGGGGGCGTTGAAGCTCGCCCGGCGCGTTCGAGGCTCGGCGGCGGCGGGGGCATGTTTTTGCTGCACGGAGGCCGGCGGCTGCTGTTCATCGGCACCAGCGGGCAAACCGCCGCCGCGCATTTGATTGCCGCTAATCCAGGGCCCCCCTCCTGCTGTTGCTCCCTCTGGCGGCGGTGAGTTTGCCGCGTTCTGCCCGGTGCCGGTGGGGGCGGGTGAAGAAGCGGAGCTTTCGGCGCCACCAGCCAGCTGAAGTAACGACGCGCCGGCCAACCCGACCGACTTGTGCTTGTCTGCGGAATCGTGGTGGCGGGCGGATGGAAAAGTTAGCACAAAAAATTAGCGTACGTGTACCAAACAGCTAGCCTTAAGCGAACACGCACGCACGGGTTGGGTGTATGCGCTGAAGAGCTCCCTCGAAAAGAGTTTTAAGCATTTTCTACCGTTCCACCCGCGATTCCACAGGGAGACACCGCAAAAATCTATCCCGCTTGGGTACTTCGCAAGAGGCGTTTGCGTCTTCAACAACATAGGCAAGTCGCGTTTCCTTGTGCAACAAGTCAACAAAAACTCGGCTACGGAAAAGGTGTGCCTACTTCCACGGAACCTTTGCCCGATCCCGGTATAATCGGCTGTCCCACATTCTTCGCTTGGCTCAAAAACATTGGCAATGTCTCGATCAATTCAGGCGAAACACACCTCATATGCAGCAAGCAGCGTCCGCCTTCCCGAAACGCCTGAAAATGCTCGTGACACGCTCGCTCAGCATCAACTTCACTCTGGACTATCTCGGTTGAGCTTTGAGCTCCGTCTGCACGCATGCTTCTTCCCCCGAAGACCTTGTGAGCGAGCAACACTCGAAGCCACTAAACAAACTCCCAACATATTCCCCAACCAACGGGAAGCAGCAGTGGATAAGAAGCACAGGCGTGAGATCTACACCTCACCGCAGAATTTGGAGCGCACTCGGTTAGCCTCGTGGCCGGTGGGGTGGCTGCAGCCGGGGTACGCGCACTTGTGACTGATCACATCCACCATCTCCGGAGACCGATGGGAGCCGCAAAAGCACGGCCGCTGCCCCGGCAGCCCGAAGCAAGGGCGCTTAGAACAGCCCGGGTGCTGGCAACGGCGGTTGCAGACGTCCACCTGCCCCTCCTGCTTGTGTGCGCTGCAAAACTGCGACTTTTGCCCCTGTCACAAGGTACGCCGGAGGTGCGATGGGTGATCATGGGATTGGGCGCCCGAGCACACCCCAACACCGGCAAACACATAAGAACAGGGTGCGAAACGCAATCTAGATATCCGCCGATGGCGTATGTTTCATGCGCGCAAGAGGGGGAGAACGTTGTGCCTGCTGCGTGTACAATGCTAGCAATTTTTTGTACAAGCACCACACACAGCAGCCTCTCGATATTTTACCGCGGCGACTCGCTCCCGTCATTTGCGGTGGGACGAGGCGACCAACGGCAAACGCCCCTCCAGCCGCTTTCATGCTCGAGAGCAACGCAAGATGGACGTCCGCCAACAAAACACCGGCCACACACAATGCCGGGTGTTCCGGAGGTGGGGACGGCTGTAAAGCAGACCGCGCGAGTCCGGGAGGGGCGACGTCCGTGCCACTCTGAGCGCAACGCAGCTCGAGAGTTGTGCGACACCATACAGCAGTAGTTGAGTTCTTTCGGGCGAGTGTTACAAATACCAGTCATACGCCAACATGAGGCCGCGTCGCCGCGTCGCCGACGGGTGACACGTCTGCTCCGTGTGAAATTAAACGAGACATATCTATGCAACGCGATCTCGCCCCCCGCCTCCCCGCCATTCCCATCCGCGTGGCGTGCCGAAACACAACACCCCTTCTCACCTCATAGCCGTAGAGCGGCCGTCTTCGACACCCCGGCTCCTCGCACCGCCGCGACACCACGTCCACCTGCCCCTCCAGCTTGTGGGCGGCGCAATAGCAGGCCCTCTTGCCCTCGAACCCGTAGCTCGGTTGCCGCTTGCAGCCTGGCTCCGCGCAGCGGCGGCTCCGCACGTCGATCATGGCCGTCGACTTGTGGATAGAGCAGAACTTGGCCTTTTCTCCCTGAGAGTAGTTCCGAGCGGGGGCACGCGCAAAGCGGTGTATCGGGGGTAGGCAGAAGGCCGGTGAGCTGAGAGACGAGGGATCCGGGATGGATGAGGCCAGCGGTTCAGGCGGGGGCAAGAGTCGGAAAAGGGTCTTGATTGGAGCTCAAAATAAAGTTCAATTGTAAGGCATTGGCACCATGTTTTGAAGCCGACGACTGCACCCCACGCGTGAAAGGGCGGTCCAAGTCAAGGATTCATCACGTCGGCGTTATCTCAGGGAAACCTAGACGTACGAGTAGACATCACTGCTTCTTGAGGCCATTGGACCAGCCGTCTCTGGAGCTCTTGTGTAGTGGGGTAGTTTTTCCACCCAACCCACCCGGATCCACCGGCGGGTGGATGGGCAGCGGCGATTCTTTTCCATACGGCTCGAGTGCATTCTGTTCAAGAAAGACGCGAGCGCGAAAAAAGCCCAAGATTCGGCTCGGCAAGCAAACAGCGCTCCGCCCTGGGCGAGGAGGCAAGACACGCAGGTGCCCGAACTTATGCCGGAAGGTGGGGCTGCAGCCTCTGTTTGACTCCACCGTTTCATGCAACCAAGAGTCCCAGGTACAATAGCACTGGTGCCCCAACACCCTTGCAAATACCGCAACGTCCTCTCTCACGGCCCGCCCCCCTCCAGAAAAAGATCGGGCTCTCGCACAACCGCGGGGTATTTCTTTCGTTTAGATCCCCCTCCCCCCCCCCCCCCCCCCCCCCCTTTTTTTTTAGTCCCCGGGGGTAAAATCGGGGGAAAAAACCCCCCCCCCCCAACCCCCCCCCCCCGGGGGAAAACAAAAAAAAAAAACAGAGCCCCCCCCCCCGGCATTTT